GTATATGTATATGTATATGTATATGTATATGTATATGTATATGTATATGTATATGTATATGTATATGTATATGTATATATTGAAAGTTACAACCCCCGGTATGCCCAAATATGGGAGGAAGTTCACTACTTCCATTCTCTGTCCATCGGCTCGTCACAAGAGACCATCCAGACAGAAACCCAATATTTTTACTGTTGCCTTTGTTACATTTTTTTTGTTTATATATAATATAATTTATTATATTATAGAATATATAAGAATATATTATAATATATATATATATATATTCGCCTTGAGTTATTTTCCCCACAGATGCAACCTGATAAGTTCTTCAGCTGAGAGAGAGGGACTGGCTTGAAGTCCCCCAAGACAGTTTTCATCTCTAATGCAGGACTAGAAATCACAATCTTCTGGTAATTGGCCCAAAATCATCCAATTGTCATTCATGCCTGGGGCAGGGTTAGAACTCACTGTCTCCTGGTGATTGGCCCAAAGATAACCATATGACTTTCATACCTAAAGCAGCCATAGAAATCACAGTCTTGTGGTGATTGGTCCAAAATCACCCAGCCAGCATTCATGCCTGGGGCAGCAATAGAACTCACAATCTTCTGATGATTGGCCCAAAATCACCCAATCAGCATTCATGCCTGGGGCAAGATAAAAACTCACTATCTTCTGGCAATTGGCCTAAAGTCACCCAGCTGGCATTCATGCCTGGGACAGGATTAGAAGTCATTATCTCATGATGACTGGTCCAAAGCCAACCAGTTTTCAGGCCTAAAATGGAACTTGAACTCACAGTTTCTTGGGTTTCAGCATATTACCTTGATCCTTAGACCAAGTTGGTTCTTTATAGCCAACAGCTCCCATAGACTCTGGACAGCTTACAGAAACATGTCTGCCCATTTTGCAACCACATAGAAACTGTTTGCCATTGCCTTGTCTAGAATAAGTTTTCAACTTTTGTGTTTAGTTTTGAGATTCCTGGTCATCTCTCATCCAAGCATTCACTGAGCTTATTATCTTCCAAGCTGAGACAAGATCAACCAAGTGTTGCCATCTGCTGAGACCCTGCAGGAAAGCCAAGCTATAACGAGTAAACATGACAATAAATAAGGAGGCTACCTGTTGGTAGAGGCGTTCCCAGCAGTCTTGAGTCATGAGACGGAACAAGGAGAGAAAAGCCCAGCCGAAAGTATCAAAGCTTGTGAAGCCATGGTCAGGATTGTCTCCAGCCTTTAAACATCTGTAGCCTTTTGGACACGTGCTGCAGAAGACAAAGTAGATCTAGTCAGCCACACTAACCACCTGTTTATCAATGGAAAGCACCCGAAGGCAGGACAAGAAGCAACGGATGGAAACTAATCAAGAAGAGAACCAGTCTAGAACTAAGGAGAAATTTCCAGACAGTGAGAACAGTTAACCAATGGAACAAGTTGCCTCCAAAAGTTGTGAATGCTCCAACACTGGAAGTTTTTAAGAAGATGTTGAATAACCATTTGTCTGAAAAGGTGTAGGGTCTCCTTCTTGAGTAAAGGTTGGACCAGAAGACCTCCAACGTCCTTTCCAATTCTGTTATTCAATATTCATCTCCCCTCCCCCAATAAAAAAACAAACAAAAAACAAAGAAGCCATTTTTTTAAAAAAAATCAGCTAATATATTCAATATCTAGTCCATAATATGCTACGCTTGATCTTATCCTAAATCTATAAATAGGTCAGGAAGCAACAATGCATAGCTTCCTGTATTCCAGAACATGGCAATGGAGAGAAAGACAAGTCTGTCCTGTGCAGATCCTTGACTTATAACCACTCTAAACAGAACTGAAAAAGTGATTTATCACCATTTTTCACACTTAGGACTGTTGCCCCACAAGGATGTGAACAAAATTCAAACATTTGGCCACTGGCCTACGAAATCCCAGGAGTCACGCAACCTTCTGACAAGCAATGAAGAAGCTAGAGTCATTAGCAGTGTGTTACTGACTTAAAATCTGCAGTGATTCACTTAACAACTGGGACAAGAAAAGTTATAAAATTGAGCAAAACATAACTTAAGAACTATCACAGTCAGCAACAGAAATTTCGGGGACCCATGGAAACCGCAGTGTAAATGCAACTGAAAACCTGATGATGTGCCAACTTCAATTCCTTTGGGAACTTTGAGAATTGAAGTCGACACATTGTCAAGTTGCCAAGTTCGAGAAACACCACTCTAGTCTAGACAAACCAAGCCGCCTGTTAATTAAATATAATTAAATAGCCTGAATTTTGAAGTACAAAGAAAAGGAAGAAAAATATTCTAAGACTGAATCATACGCACATACAAGGCCTTCAACTATATTGGCTCATAAATGAAATAATGGATAATGTATCATGATTGTTAAACAAACGGTTACTCATGAGCAGATATTAAAGCTATTCAGTACAGCTATTCATTCATTCTATTTATATGAGTGCCCATCTCACAATCAAATGCCTGTGGGTGGCCTATAATAAAGTTAAAAAGTATATGTACAAAGTCATTTTTATATTATTAAAAACTTTAAAATTATAAGAGGCATGTAACAAAAATTAAAAAGACACTGGGAAAAGAGCAGAGTTAATTATAGATAGTCTTCAACATTATAACAGCTAATTTAGTGACCATTCAAAGTTACAATGGCACTGAAAAAATGGGAGTTATGACCTTTTTTTCATGCTTATCAAAGGTGGGTTGCTCCCGGTTCAGCCCGGTTCTGCTGAACCAGTAGTGGGGGCAGTGGGAGACTCCGCCCACCTACCCGGATGCTTTAGCGCATGTGCAGAAACGTCATGCACGAGCACGAGCGAACCGGTAGTAAGCCAGTTAGGAACCCACCACTGATGCTTACAACTGTTGTAGCAACCCCATGCTCACGTGAACTAAATTCAGACCCTTAGCAATAGGCTCATGGCTTTTGCAGTGACCTGGGGTCACATTTTCCAACCTTCTAACAAGTAAAGTCAATGGGGAAGCCAGATTCACCTAACAACCATGTTACTAACTGAACAACTGCAGTGATTCACTTAACAACTGTGACAAGAGAGATTGTAAAATGGAGCAAAACCCACTTAATAAATGTCTCAGTTGGAACAGAAATTTTGAGCTTAATCATGATCTTAAATCAAGGATTACCTGTATGCTGGAGCCATTTCAGTATTTTGCAGATCTGCAAATAGGGTCTTAGGCCTAATGACACAACCAGCTCTTGAGAGATTTCCAAAAAGTCAGAAGAGATGAAGCAAACCTTATCTCATTTTAAGTGGAAAGGATGACCATAAAGCAGGGGCCACATCAAAAAGGGGCCACCACTCTGGAAACTGGAGCCCAGATGATGCTCCTTAGATGACAGGACCTGTAACCTGCCCTCCTTGTTGAATCTATTCAGGACTGACCTCATTAAATGGAAACGGAAGAAATTCTACTGAAGCAAAATGGTTAACTGGAGACCTAGTTATTAAATGAAATTGCAAAATACATATATTGTGACAGCCGTCTTCCTACATACATTCTGCTCTACAAGCAAGTGAGATAAACATGGATGATAGGCTAAGAAAGGAAAGGATGGTGAATGACCAGTAAAAAAATGTGGCAGATATCCTAAGCATCTGGATTGGTTTTAATCTCAAAGAAAAAGAACCAGCAAAACTGATTTCATGGCCATTAAGCTAGAGTCATAACACATTGAAATAGGATGAATATTTTTGTGCTCAATTTTGGGTTTAGGTTGTGTTTGTAAGATGAGTTGTGGGCTCACGGAATTTTGGAGGTTCCTTCCTATACCCATTTCCTCCTCTCTTTGCCCCTTCTGGGATCTGCATCTTTGAACTGCTATTTTATTTTCCCACAATGCTCCTGACATAGCATCACTCAGAGCCATGTTGGGAAATTCAAATGGTGCTTTGGGTTCCATCCACCTAGTTCAAGACAGTACTCAAGAAGTCACTCAGAATGTTAGGAGCCTGATTACAGTTAATCCTGGCCTTACAACCACAATTGAGCCCCAAATTTCTATTGCTAAGTGAGACATTGGTTAAATTGAGTTTTGCCTCACATTATGACCTCTCTTGCCACAGTTGTTAATTGAATCACTGCAGATGTTAAGTTAGTAACATGGTTGTTAAGTAAACCTGGCTTTCCCATTGACTTTGATTGTCAGAAAGTCACAAAGGTGGTGATGTGACACAGTGACACTGCAAGCACCTGAATTTTGATCACATGGTCAGGGAGAGGCTGCAACAGTCATAAGTCACTTTTTTCAGTGCCATTGTAACTTTGAATGGTGACAAAATGAACTGTTGTTAATTTGAGCACTAAATGTACTCTTCCAGAAGACTGTGTGTAAAAACTGAATTTGCCCCAAGAATCAAATGTGGTTTCATTCAGCAGCGGCAAAACCACGCAGTTCATTGATCTTGGGATCGTGACTTTAGCCTAACTCAATCTTTCAATCAGAGTCCTGTCTGTAAGTATGCCACTTCCATGTGAAAAGCTTGACATAGGAAATCAGAACAATATCAAGAAGCAGTAAAGTAGGCATTGTTATTCAATATAGCCTTAATCCTTGCCCTAGTGTTAATTGTGCTGGTTGTGTTCAGACAAAAAATAGGAGTTTCCTTTATAATCCTCATGACCACACTTGAGACTCAAACTTCTGTGGCTAAGAAAGACAGTTGTGAAGTGAGTTTACTCCACTCTCTGACATTTCTTGCCACAGTTGTTAAGTGAATCACTAGTTGTTAAGCTAATAAGCCAATCATTAAGTGAATCTGGCTTGCCTTTCCTTGTCATAAGGTCACATGGTTCATGGGATACTGCAACCATCATAAATATGAATCAATTGCCAAGCATCTGAATTTTGATCATGTGACCATAGGGATGCTGCAACAGTTGTATGAAAAATGATGATGAGTCACTTTTGCCAATAGCATTGTAACTTCAAATGGTCACTAAACAAATGGTTGTAAGTTGAGGACTACTTGTTTTCAATATATTCAATGGATGCTGCTTGTAGTTGAGAGGCCAGAAAGCAACCATCAAAATTGGTAGTTGTTCATAGATCGATTCTGCACAATTGTTCTTTTAAAATTATCACTACTTTTGAGACCAACAAGTTCTTCAGAGTTTTCAAATTGTTAAAGCAAGCAAAAAAAATAAAATTAATTTCAGCCTACATTTTCTCTACCATTCATGCCCAGATCCCAACAGATAATGGCCCAGAAGGAAAAACTGTGTGACGACATCAATCCTATTCTTCCATTCTAAACACATTTTGCTTTTGTCACCAGTCAAAAGAACAATTACCAAATTTTTGTTACTAGCTTTGTTCAAACTCCTAACTAAAATTGCCAAGATCTGTCTTCCAGCCAACTTCTGAATTTAGTCACTACAATCTTAGAAAAAAGAATGATTGCATTTGGGGAAAAAAACATCATCTTTTATATCTCCCCGTTTGTGGTAAACATTTCAGCAATTAAATAAGAAATAATTTATATGCAAAACTTTTTTTGTTAGAAAAGTATGGCCACTTTTGCATCGTGTCTAACAGGTGTCCTAAAGTTTGTTTTGTTTTGTTTTTTAACAAAAATACATTTAGGGATTTTCTAAAGAAAACCCTGGCAACAACAGCCGAAATAGTTCTCCTTTAAAATTGCACTGAAATTCACAGAGAAGTTTCTAAGGCTTCATTCTCTTTCTAAATTACTTGTATTTATAGAGGAGGTAAAACAATGAACTTGGAAACCAAAGGAAGAAAAATGCATCTCCCTATAGAGCATAAAAATTACTTTTGCCTAAATCTATAAATGAAAATTAAAGTTCAAGAAAGAATAACGGTAATTAAGGTTTCTATAGGAACTAACTATCATTAGGATGCAATTGTCAAAGGTGTTTTGGTACATCTGCCATTTGTTGGGGTGCCTCAATTTCTCTTCTTTGTATTTGCCAAAACAGCATTGGACCAAACTACTAGGAGAAGATTTAAAGTCAACAACATATGAAGGTTCCAGATTCTATGCCCCTCAAGTTTTCTTCCTCCTCCTAGAATGTTTTTGTAAAAAAATAATGTCAGATTTTATGGCAGTACTGGCAGTCCTTGACTTATGACACAACTGTGCCCAAAATTTCTGTGCCTAAGCAAGGCAGTTGCTAAATGAATTGCATCCCATTTTATGACCTTTTTCCCCACTGCAAATCACTGCAGTTGTTAAGTGAATCGGGAGATAATTAAGCAAGTCAGATTTCCC